AGAGAGAGAGAGAAGTCAATCAAAAAATGAAAAAATAAAATAAAATAAAAGAAGCAAACAGAGTCAGATATCACTTGATGCAAAAAACAGCTTACATCATATTGATGCAAGTCCTTGTCAGGCAGCTCGGCGAAAAAGTGGTTGGCTTTCACAATGCACCTGATGCCAAAGCTTCCCTTGCCAGGCCTTAAGGGAAATCTCATCGACTTGCTCGAAGCAGGTGGAATTTCTTGGGTTGGGCCCACTTCCTGCACCGAAAGCTGCTGCATTTGCTCAGCCACCTCCACTTGGGTCGGCTCTGGTGGTGATGATGCCATTGAAAAGGGTGATGAAGAAGAGGAGCCCGGCCCACCAGGCTGACTCGACGTGGATTGATATGGAGACTTTGTAGCTTGGTACAGCTCGGGAGCTGGCGGCCTAGACTGCCCACCACTGGAGGAACTCTCTCGACCGCCGGAATAGGCACCGCGGCCCGGTGGGCCCCTTTGCTGGTAGTGCGGGCCACCCCTACCCCTACCACGACCCTGAACTTGGTCTTGCGGCCCCTGCTGGTTGTAGTCGTGGGGCCCACCATAGTACGGCTGCTGTGCGGGCCCTCGGCCACCTCCACCACCACGGCCACCATATCCTCCACGGTGTGGCCCGGCCCAGCCTCTCCCTCCTCCTTGCGGCTGATGGGCCTGTTGGGCCTGCGGAAGCTGATGCTGGGCTGGTGGGCGCTGGGGCCCACCTCGTCCTGCGCCGGTGGTCTCCTGGGATTCTGAGCTCTCGCCCCCAGTGCCAGGAAGATCAGTACGCCTCTTTCTCACCATTGTGTCGACTACCGGAAAAAAAAATACACACCAGCAATCACATTATATTTCAAGTGTGTCAATTCATACAATGATGTGAATGAAATGCCAGAAAAAAATCATGCAACATGGAAAAACTTAGTTCACTCTGAAATAAATGTATGCGAGCGCAAACAAAATCGTTTTAACTCTAAAGGAAACAATTGCCAGTGAACGGCACCTTCCAATGAGTAGGGATTGCATATCATTCATATGGTAGCAAGTAATAAAATGATAGGCAACTATATGAAATGTACATATCATGACACGCGTACTTGGTTTCTTCCAAAGACAATTACAAGGAATCTACCACTAGTTACAGATATGCATTATGCAGCATTCATGTTAAACATACTAATACAAAGGAAAAAAAGAAAACGAGTACACAAAACAAAGGAGAAGATTGCTTTGGAACAATGAAACAAATACCATCAGAAAAAATAAAAACAAAAGGAAAGAAACTTTTTGAGTGAAACTCAAATACAGATGCGAAGAGATCCATAAATACTCCAAACAAACAGAGCAAGAAACAAACCTTCCCAAAAAAAAACCTCCAAACAAATTTTCCATTCATTAATACTGGGAGTCGAGATTTTCGTTACAACTTTAAAGTGATTACAGAACAAAGAAATTGGGAACCAGAAAAGAAAAGCACCATATCTACAGAAAGACACCAGCTTCAACTTAAAAGTCAAACCACAGGCAAACCACTGTCGACTAGACAAAGGAAAGCTAATAAGTTGTCGCTGGACAATACAAATCCAATAAGAGAAATAATGTTGCCATTTTAGTAACAGTATATAAGAAAAAAAAAAGGAAAAAAAAAAAGCACCATCTTCACAACAGCAAGACTCTATCTTGAAACCAAAAACCAGACCACCCCATCAGTCAGCCTAAAAAGACCCACCAGTGGGCACAGGTAATAAAAACCAAAAAACTGTTTAAAGTGCATTTCTAACACTACAACAACAAAATCAGGGCAAAGAAGGCACCAGATCCAGCTAGATCCAACCGTATTCAAAGCTAACAAAGTACAACAAAACGGATCGATTCTACTTTTTTACTCAAAAAATGGTTAAAGAGTTCAGGCAAGACAAGAAACAACACAAACCCCCAGCTAAAATTCACATCAGATTTTCTCAACAAGCTCTCACCTTGAAGCTCGAAAATCACTCGATTAAAACTGGAAAAGCCCAACCCCAGTACCCCACACCACAAACCGCACTATAAAGATGTATTCTTTTAAGCGTAGATGAAAGCACACAAATGAGAGTAACTGCAAATAAATAGAGAGAGTGGGTGATGAGGGGAGAGCGATGGTGGTGGCCAAAAAGGGACACTGGGGTCCGATTCCGAAAATGCTACGAGAAAGAGAGAAAACTACGATAATGCCATCAGAGCTTTGATTCCCTTCGGAATGGCCACGGACAGGGCCCATATGGAACCGTTGTTATCGGACCGGAGTCTCTCCGGCTTGATGACATGGCGTTGACTGGCCCTGAAAATGCTTCTGTGGGTTCGGGAAAATTTCCGATCTTGTAGTAAATTAAGCTTATTGTATTTTAATTTTTTTTAAATAAATCCTTTTGATGTGAATGACAAAAAAATATCATACATATCATATAAGTAATGTTGTAGAGTTTCTACATATTTTGTGGTGTGTTATAATATTAGAAAAACAAACAAACATGAAATAATATTAATTTAGCGAATCATTTATGAGATAGCAATTTTTTTTTCCAAAAATATTTGATGTCATATAATACCAAATTAAATATTTCTAGACATTATATTTTTACATGATTTCAAATAGCTGAACAAATTTTAGGGATCATTCATGAAATCGCGATCATTTCTTCCAAAAAATTTAATGTCGATATTCCAAAATATATTTTGCACGATTTCAAATAGTAAATTATATGTGTTGAGTTAATGTAATAGAGCAAATTTAGAAATCATTTTTAAAATCACAGGTAATTTTACCTAAAAAAATAATGTTGTCGCATTAAGGGACTAGAATTGGATATTCCGAAATGTTGTATTTTTGCATTATTGCAGTACTAAAATTGGACGTGTTGAATCAACTTTATAAAACAAATTTAGGAATCATCTATGAAATATCATTTTTTCCCCTAAAAATTGGATGTCATCTCACACCAAATGCAAATTGGATATTCTAAAATATTATATTTTATACTGCTTCAAATAGTAAAATTAGACTTGCTGAATTAACGTAACAGAACAAATTTATAAATTATTAATGAAATTGCAATTAATTTTTCTTAAAAAATTGACGTCGTCTCATAAATTTAATATTTTGAACCATTCTAGATTTATGTGGTTTCAAATAGTAATATTTGACCTGTTAGAATTAATGATATAATAGAACAAATTTGGGAATCATTTATGTATTGTAGTCTTGCTCAAAACTTATGGCTTATAGAAAAAGTTGACCTGTATAATCTCGTTTGATACATGCAAAACTTTATAATTAAAAATAATCTGGTTAATGTCAATAAAGTTATAATTGATATAACAAACAGACAAAAATAAAAAGGTACTCTTTTGTTTTCAATTATAAAAATCTCCAAAACAATTTGATTCCTAATAATACACTCAAACAAACTACAGAGAAAAGCAATAATATGTAAAAATTACAATATTGATGCTTTCCACCAAACGAGCTTGGTTACCAAATTAATTATTAAAAACAAAATAACTACAAATATTGATTAATATTAAAATAAAAAAAAAAAAAAAAAAAAAAGCTATATATAAAAGGACAACGTAACAGCCAATGGTTGGAAAGTCATTTTCTTTTGGTCGCTGTTTGTACGAAATAGCTCGAATAGTTGGTTAATTCGAAGTAGGAATAGTTACGGAATGGTGCTTTACAGTGCATTTTTCTTGGCCTTATGCAATACAAACTAGTAACAATAATGCAATAATTCCATCAATTCACTGATAAATAATAGAAGGTCAAATTATTTAGGGGGGCCAATTTGATATAAGTAAAATAAATTTTGATTGGATTTATTGACTAAAGTGATTTAATTTGAAATAAAGTTGATTGAGTGGAAGATTGAATGTGGTTTGAAATTGTATTTAAATAAAATTTAAAACTGTAATGATTAAAGTTGATTTGATACAAAAACATGAAATAAGTTTGTACTGGGTGTCAACCGAACTACTAAGATTCGTACCGAATTAAAGGCAGTTTCTTCGGGTTCGCATTCGTTAAGGATTGGAGAGAGGGGGCCGTTCGAATATGCGGGACGACTGTAGACTACCATAATGAGTTCGAACGAACAAGCATTGGCTGGACGTCCGATTAGTATTGATCATTTTGTTGGATTGGGACACGTGTCGCGAGCTAGAATCATCATCCGTATTGAGATTAAGCTTGTAAAGTACTAAACATTTAATGCTGATGTGCATAATATCCTTAAAACAGTATTCGATCATGTGCAAATGCACAAATACAAATAAAGTTTTATTTGTTATATGTGTGTATAATATTTAAAATCACAATATAGACAATGAGCATATCACATTTTATAATTTAACTTTAGTAAATTAGTGAAAATAAACAACATAAATATTATAAACTATTTAATATACATACTAATTTTTATATTGATCGTAATATTACAATTTTTATAAATATGGGTGGTTATGACCAATTAATTAGATAAAAAAATATTCAAATTATTACTTTAGCAATTGTATACGAAATTTATGGGTTTGGTTATATCGTAATAAATAATTAACTAATTATAAATAAAATACTTGCTTAATGAGCTAAAACAATAAATAATATTTTAAATAAATAGTTCGAAATTTTTTTTATAATAGAATATCATTTAATGTGACTTGATGATAAACGAGACGAGGTCGAGCTCCCATAAAGCTTGTTTAGTTAACGAGCCAAACTCGATTCGACTCAACTCGATAAGACTCGAAAATTAAATTTTTGTATTATATTCTATAGTTTCGGCTTGTTAAAGCTGAAACAACAATACCATTCAGCTTCAGTTTAGCTCATTCTGCAACAAAAGCTTGGCACTAATGGCGGCCATGAAGAAATCAGCCGTGACACACCACTATCGACGGCGCCTTCGCCGCCCACACTCTCCGGCGGCTACTTCTCTCATCCCTATCACCGTCAACTATACTCTCAGGTTCCGATTCAACTGTTTTTGCATTTGTTCATATTTCATGCCAAGTTTCCACTCGCGGTGTTTGTTATATTGCTGAGCAGAGGATTTTAACCTGCGATGAAATTGACAGTGTTTACCTTCTAGGTTTTGTGGGACCGCCCGTTTTCGTCCAGCACCTATCTCCCAAGTCCTAATGTTGAAAGGTAATTTTGTTTACAGCTCTCTTTAACGTTTATTTACTCTTTACGAGATTAGATTACCGCTGTGTTTTAACACATGCCCTCTTTTTTTTTTTTTTAATGAGTGAATTTGGTGCTCAAGGCCATTGTTAGTGGCTGTAGCTCACAAATGCTTCTGACATGTGTGGGCAAAGGGTGGTCTTTTGGTTTGTTATTTGATCAATTATTGAAATGTTGTGATTCAATTGGCACACCATTTTTGTGTTATGTGAAATTTGTGTATGTTGATGATTATATTCCCACTACACCATAGGAAAAATTAGAAAAGGGGGACATAAGTTTTATCCAATCGTGCATATACTATTTATAGACCAATATAATGTTTCACAAATTGTCTGGTTATTTATTTGTCTCATTTTTCTATGCTGGGTTGTGGTCCTAGGCCATCACAAGACTGCACTAGAGATGTTGGGTTTGGCATCAGATAGTGGAAATGCAACTATAGCTTATGACTATTCACAGGTAATCTCTACTCAGAAGTAACACTCTTTTCCTTCTGAAACTGAATAAGATCCCATCTTTCTTTAGTTAAAAAACCGATCTTTTTTCTAACTCATGTGTGGAAGTTAGTGGAGTAGACAATCTCTATATGTGTGGCGGGGGCACTACATGCATGTGATGCTATGTTATCATTCAGAACAGTGGTGTGAGGCAAAGTGTGATTAAATCAAAATCTGATAAGCGCTTCTTGAATAGTGAATAGTGGCTTTGGTTTTGTAAACTTCGCATACTCGGCTGGGGTCTAATCTATACTGTTTCCATTCTATGTGCTTGTTTCGTATTTAAAAACTCAAACCTGAAATATAGACAGAGTTTGTATATTATTACGAAGGGGGTGGTAAATGACTTTCTGAAATATTTTCGATGAGTCCCATTTCTCTGATTATAAGTCAAGAGATAACTCTGTAGATTGTGCTTGGTTTTTTCCACTGTCATTTTAATAAATTTGTACTTATACTATCTGAGTTGACTAGTTGAGGGGAGAAAGAGGATGGTTGAGTGCACTTAAGTCAACATCATAAAGGAAATCTCATTGTAGTAAATTGCACACCATTATATCGTTCTGTTTTTTCTGGACCTCAACCTTACTACATTTGATTTTGTTTTTCTTGGATGCTAAGAAGACAACTAGGGGAGCTTGTAATTCGATGGATCACTATTAATTATTTATTGGGCTATGTGTGGCTAATACTTCTTACTCTTTTTTCTTCTTCCATAAGATTTCCCTCTTGTTTTGGAAGTGCATCGATTTATCATTTTTTGGACTCCTTTCCTATTCCACATGCTATAACTTTCTTGGATATTGGCCCATAATACTTAAAATCCCTCAACATCGAGAGGAATTCATTAATTATTGTGTTCATGTTTAGTTATATATCTTGGCAATTGTTTGTCTTTCAAGTGGCTGATCATGCATTTAGATTTCTGGGTGGACGATAATTTGTAGATGTGCATGTGTTTAGATTTTAAATAAATGAGTCAAGATTTTGTTAGAAAATATTATTGCATTTCATTAATGGGGCGTTTTGAAGTAAAAGAGAGTGTGAAGGGTGGATCATTTTGTTAGTGAATAAGAACACCTCTTAAAGTGCAAAAGCTGTACCATTCTGAAAGTGAATAAGGACACCTCTTCGTAAAAAAGCTTCTTAGGAAAAAAAAAAAAAAAACCCCGATTGCTTAATTTACTCACTTCCTTTAGCATTACCCCTTCTTGTCCATAAAATACTTTTCAATAAGAAGATCAGTATTATTTTTCAACTACCAAGCTGTTGTAGCTAAGTTTCACATGAATGATCCAAGTAATTTTGTTGTAATCCTGATTTTTGAGGTTTTAATAATTTAGTTTGACTCCGATTTTCAATATGTTAACAGATTCTACTAGTTCGTTAGATTCTAAGATGTTTTGTAACTACTGTATTGCGAGCAAGCTATATGGCAACGGTACTCATTATCAAGCAACTTGAAAATGTGTTATGTGTATCTCTCACTTGTGAAGTGATTGATTTTTTGCTTCCATATTCTGGCCTTTACAACACCGATATATAAATAACAGAAAACCCACATTTACAGGTACAGGCGATACCTGAGATTTGAGATCTTTATGATACAGAAAGCCCCTCTCGGATTTGCTTTTTTGGAAGGTAAAAAAAAAAAAAATGTCCGAGCATTTTATGTGATGTGAAAGATCAGGGTTTTTGCTGTACATAGGCTAAACCTCTGGGACTGATATATATTTTGTGACCACTTTTAAAAAGGTAAAAAGAAAGAGATACTAAAGTGGCTCGTTTCGTAAAACAGCTGATCAAACAATGAACTTCTTTTGAGAGGCAAATCGGTTCACAGTTTTTTTCCACTTTATCGAGCATGGAAGAAGACTGATGATTGTTTTCTTAGTCTTCTCCTGTTATCAAATGCCCTGAAGTTAACATGATGTGCTGTACTGAACAAATACTCCCTCTTTGAGATGCAATCTGTGAAATAGACACAACTGTAAATGGGGAAATCTGTAAAGTCCAAAGTAACCTATTTTATTTTATTTTATTTTATTTTTTTCATAATGCAAGTGTTGAGAATATTGTAGGACTACCTAAGCAAGAAAATAAAGAATCACACAGAAATAAAAAGGAGAGTAAAGTCGTGCAGGATAGAAATTATCTCTGTACAATCATCTTGTGATTTGATTTCTTTTCTATCTAAAGAATGGAAGTTGCATAGAAAAAAAAATTGGAATTAAAACTTCCTTATTTTTGCTGTTAGAAGTTCTAGATTTTTAATGTCCTTCATATATTACTGTGATTGTTATGCCATTATTTTGTAGGGTAATTGGAGCTGTAATTTAACGAGTACCCAGGCTTGGAAACGACCGATTTTTGAAAATTAGCCTAAAGAACATATCACAGGTTATTTCTAATCCCCTAATCATACTTCCTCGAGGGAGCATATAATTTGCTATAAAAATTTATTCTTATTACATGGTCAAATGTACCAGAAATATGCCATTTAATATATGCTTGAAAATGTTCTGTTTAATAAACTCAGTATCTGTTCAGTTAAGAAATCTTCATTTCTTTTTCCCAATCGCAAGTGTTCTTGGCCGTAATACAGATCTGTTGGATTGTGATATTTTTTAATGATATATGACTGAATACCCCCAACTTGCTTGTGTTTAAGTGAAGTGAAACTTACATACATATATCAGTTCATATTTAAGTCTCCTTAGATGATTGAAAATTGACAACCGAAGGTAATTGCAGAAAAGGACCCCTACCCAGACCATACATTCAGAAATTTCAAAATTTTCCGAAAAATTAATGTGTAGTAGAATTTGAGGACTAGGATTGGTCAAACGAAACTGGAATCGGAAATTGTCCTAAAAGGGGAACAGCCAACTAATATTAATAATGTCACAACAATATAACTAACTACCTCTGAAGGGAATAAAGGCCTTTTATTCCACTAGGCAAATCCAATCAAGAAGGTGTGATGTAATTCAGAAATACTTCAGCCAAACTAAAAGATGAAAATAATGGGACAAAAAAAAAATTGTTTTAAGTACAATTAGTGGCGTGATCAGAATTCATGCATGCCATAACACGAAAGATTGTAAAAGCATTAATCTTTTTTTAAAGTTTAAGTAAATCCCATTCATTAATTAGTTTGTGAAGGCCTGTTGAGAAACCTCATCACCAACAAAGTTTGTGCTGGATGAAGAATACCAAACATCATCTGTAATAAAATGCATCCATGACTCATCCTTATCATCTTTGTGTTCTTCTTCATTACATAGGTTATTGGAAGATGATGCCAAGGGGAAATCGGGCGACATTGTCTCGTGATGCTCGTTGTTAGCTCCTTGCATGTAATCAAGCAGTGACAAATTGCTCGTTTGGATGTGCTCTTCGAATTCGGAGGACAGCCCGTTTTTCTTGAAAACTCGGCATAGTGCATACGAGTCCTGTATACGAGAAGGTAAGCATTGTTAGAAGGGTTCATTTCAAGAGTCTAGTTAAAGCTGCATTTTTTTATTTTTATTTTTTTGGGTAATGAATATAATAATTTTCACTCAACTGGAGATAAATGATTAAGTTCAAGACAATTTGAAAATTCTTGATTTTCCATGTTTTGGTTCTAAGGGGAAGAAAAAGTTTGATTGGTGATGTCTTGAATTTGTGAGATTTGATGAAATACAGACAGATGTGTGGGGTCATGATGCTTTTATAAGTCAATATTAGAGGCTATTGGGAGTTAATGTTGATACACTTCTGTCAAAATTGAAGTGGCAAAAGGGAGTTAAAGAAGAAGAAGCTGGCAAAAATTTGTTTAGAACGAAAAAAAAAAAAGACAATCTTAAGAAATATCTTTCAAGTACAAAGAGATCTTTTATTCTTTCTTCCATTTCACCTACAAAAATAAAAAATCAAATAGGTAATAATTTCTACATAACTTATGCCAAAATATTCTACTAGATGTCATTACATACACGGTAAAAAATCTTCAGTTCCAAAATTATGTTCCAGTTACTGGCTTATTTCATTGGATGAATGATACGCATTCATGGTGTCATAATCATACATGTGTCATTCATATCCGTTGAAATTTAAATTGAAATATGATTTTATAACATGAGATCCCATCCCATCCCAAGTACATTTATTAGAATTTACCATAGACTATCTTAAAATTAAGTGAAAATACACAATTTTTTAGTCTAGAGGACAACTTTGCTTATTAAGGGGAGAATAAAGTGAAAAGTAGCCGACACCTCCTTACAATATTGTAAGAAAGTGAGAGGGGTCTCTACCTTCTTTTTTTTTTATTTAATGTTATTATTAGAAATCAAAATGAAAATGATTTTGTGTGCAAGAATCTTGGATTCTAGATCAGGACCATATGATTATATCAAGACAACATGACAAAAAGACAGAATAAAATAAAACAAACAGTTTGATGTTTGGGGAAGATCTCATAAGATCAGATTAAGTAGAATTGTACTTTTGTCCCTGTATAATAATTAATATTATTTAGATAAAAATATTTGATGTACTCAAGAGATCTAGACCTGTGCACGAAAAGAATAACAAGTCAGCAATTTTACTTTTTTTTTTTGGACAAATTTAGAAATATTTTAGTTCTCGTACATAATCATCAGAGGAGAATCTTTCTGCTTATTTTTGAGTGATATTTCACTACAGTAGATAATAGATAAATTTCGTTATAAAATTATTATAACTTACTTTGAATCACAGATCAAAGCATAAAATATATATTTTTTTTTCATATAACATAAAATAAAGTTGGACCATTAATGAGTGTGACAAAAGTATGGACTTTTCCCATGCATGCCATGCAGTTTACGTTCAGTACTATATACCCTACAAACTCAATTTATTTATTTTTTTGAAGGAAAATTTTAGGAATTTCTCTTTTTCTCCACATATTTATGCTGGAAATTTCTCCTTTTTTTTTCTCTTTCAAATCTCTTTTTTTTTTATTTTTTTTTTCTTTTTAATCTTTTATGTTTTGTTTTTAGATGGGCACACACACAAGAGTGTGTATATGTGTGTGAATACAGCAACAAAACATGAGGCGGGCACATGTTAAAGCTCAGGTCCATTTTGCTTTTTATCCATCCTTTAACAAGAATAGAAAGAGATGATAAAAGAAAATGTGGAGATAAATGCTTTTTCCATCTAACATAAAAGCCTGAAAATTCATGATTGTTTTAACTTTTATTATTTATGAGTAATTAATAGTGACATTTATATTTCGACCCTACTGATATGGAACTGCCTTCTACAATCCTAGTCGATCGTAAAATTTTTATCAATAGTTAAAGGCATAAAAAGTTTTGTATCATTGTTGAGATACATATATAAAGGAAAGTAAAAGAAGCAAAAGGGAAGTAAAGAATGATAAAACAAACATACAGGACATATAATTAACCAAGTGTCTATTCAGTACAATTTTATGAATTAAGTTAGTTAAGCTAATAAATTCAATGGCTAATTAGATTAAAAGATCATGTGAGAAATGGAAAAAGAAGGTGCCATCTTTCTAGTTCAAGAAACTGAAAGCCAAAATGAGAGGCTTTTATCACACTCACTCACAAACAAATTCAAATAGAGAAAAGAACAAAAAGATATATCATCAAGAAATAGAATGATCATAAAATCAAGAAAATAACACTTCACAATAATTAAGAAACTAAATTGAAAAAATGAAAAATTTATCCAACAGTTTTGTCAAGTATGCATGAGGCTAATAATTTTCAAATTCACCAAGTAACTATTCATACATAATTATTTTATAAGCATGCAAAATTGCATAAATCTCTACCAAATTACCACCAATTCATTATAATGAATTTGAAATTTCCCAAAAAATATAATAAATTAAATTAATATTAGTATAACCGTACGGGCTACCTGGAGGCCGGTCGTGTCCTCCCATTCCTTATCATCGAGCCTATATTCATGCATTACCCAATCAGTCCTTACTCCTTGTGGGGCCCTTCCCCTGTAATACACGAGTGTTTTCTTCATACCTATGGCTCGATTTTGGCTATTCACTCGCCTGTCTTTCCCTGTCGATTTCCAGTACCCGGCCCGAGTCGCCCGGTTCGTCCTGAACCCATTCGGGTACTTTCGGTCCCTTGGCCCGAAAAAGTACCACTCGGGATCTCTACTAGGCAAGAAAGATTTCTCTACAAGAAATTATCAAAACAAACATTATATATGAAATAATCTAAATACAATAATTAATGTGAGCTAAAATATTAATGCATACTTTATAATTAATATTCTTGAAAAGGGACAAAAATGACATAGTTTAAGGGGTGCTTGTTTATGGAATAATTTGTTCAAAATGAGTCATTTTGGTTAATCATAGTTAATTTTGAAAAAAGTGGTATGGTTAGTTATTAGTAGAAATTTAAGAATGTATTAAAATAATATTTAAAATAAAATGATTAAAATTGATTTGATGTAAAAGTAGGAGATAAATGATTGAAAATGAGTGGAAATGATAGGTATTTAAAATTATGTGAGTGGATGAATAGTGAATTAAAGTTGATGTGATGTGTAAGAATGATTGGTTTGTATAATTTAATTATATAAATAATAATAAAGATAGTGGAGTTGGGTTAAAATTAAGTTAGATTTTGAGTATGAATTGAATGTGAATGAAATAATTATAAACAAGCATGCCGGGTTCATGAAAATAAAAATTCTTGATTTTATAATTAAGGTACAAAATGACATATTTTCGATCGATTTTCGCTGACCTGCCAATTCCCAAGGCTCGCATTTGTAGAGATCGACTTCGGGAATAATGTCGAGCTCGATTTCGAGGCCTTGAATTTTCCTTTTCAAGTAATAGTTGACGAGCTCCTCATCGGTGGGGTGAAACCTAAAACCGGGAGGCAGTCCCACCGGAGCCATCGACAGCCTGCTAACAGCTCGTCTCCGGCCAGCCGACAAGCACTTTTTACGAAAAACTGTAACACAATGTGTTAACTGCTAACTACACCATTGATGATGGTGTGGGATATTTATATAGGAGAATTCAAAGTCCCATTGTGCTTGTCTTTGAGTTATTTTTTCACTTTCTTTCTTCTTTTC